AATTTGACGTCATAATTAAAAAGTGATTGTTGCTTGACGTCAGAAGGTTATTCGGAGACAGATCTAAGGTCATTCGGAGACAAAATTCAGCTAAATACCAAAAGGTGTAAATACGTTTATTGGTGGAGGAAGCTGGAGTGCCTGGAAGAACCACCGACCATCGGCTGGAAAATGACAATCCTCGTCAATAAAGATTGGAGTCGAGCGCACCTGCCACGTGCGGGATTTGAGCCCACAACTTTAGTGTTGACAGGCTAGTGATACGGTAGTTGAACAACTTAGACCACCGCACCGAGGCCCCCTTTTTGAGGTTTTGAAAGTTGCTTCTGCTGTTATAAATTCCCCAAAAAGGCGTTCAAAGTTAAAATTCGATGATTTATAGCGTACGGCTTTTACTGTATATTTTAACTATTTGTTCTTATTCCAGACTGCAGTATCTGATTTTCAAAATAATATTAGAGGGCGTACGCCCCCCTTCTGATCGCAAAAAAAATCTCATTTTTTCACGATATATATTTTTAATCATAAAATTGTCCAAAAATTTGTTTGTCCACTGGACAGTTTATATACAATCATCGGGAATTATGCCCCCTTTCAAAAATAATGGATCCGCCCCTGATGAACATGAGGTGGATATTTTACAGTGGCGGATCCAGAGGGGGGCGTAGAGGGCGTACGCCCCCCCTTTGCTTGGACTTTTTTTTGTTTTTTTGGTAAAATGATTATAAATCAAACTTGACTTCGTGAACTTTGCCATTTCCCGCGTATTTAATTTTTATGCGACAATTCTTTACTTATAAAGATATTTTTCTCTCGTATTTACTGTAATATATTATTGATTATGTCAAAGTCATGTGATTCGCTACGGTGGAGTTGACCAGTGCGTCGAAAAAACGTCACTCAGTCATTTTGAAATTCAAATTACAGTAACACATTGCTTAGGCTGAGGATGACAAGCATGACACCTTTAAAGCGAGTAAGGATCGAGCAAGAACGTATTGACTTCTATTTCACAATTCCACCAAACAGAAAGTAATACTCTATTACACTCTCAAGAAAAAAAAAGTTCACAGCAATATTATTTACCTATAAAAACACGTTTAACCCCACACGCCCCAGCCCATTCATAACATTGCTGAATAATAATCCCCAGTCAGTAAGCTCTAGATAGATTTAAAATCTAAGGTACGGACCATTTGATTTGAGGGGGCAGTCAGATATTTTAGAGAAAAAATTCTGACCCTGATTTTTGCCTTAAACAAAAAATTCTGGCCGTATCTGGATTGAAAACAATACCGGTAATCTTGTCCACTTTTTTGCTATTAGAAACAAAGATTTAAACAGAATTATTGAGCATTAAATGAACATGTTGAATGAAAAACGGGCGTAATTTTTTTGGGGCCGGGGGTTTGCATGTTGTAAATCCCATATCTGACCGGAATGTCTGTTTCTCCGAACTGATATGCTGAATACTTTTTTCAAGGCCCGACTTCAACCTGCCTGCTCGGTGTGGCCTTTATGTCTCCATTTGTCGACCGTCATTCACAACTTCGTTGTCATTTCAGACTCATTCGTAGCCTTTGGTTGATTTGGAACCCCTCACTTCCCTTGTTGGGTGAAACATTTCAACCAAACATTTGGATAAAAATTGCTAGTTTGTCTTTGTTCGTGTCTGTCGTATTGTAAATTTCATTGAATGGCCGTATATCTTGTTTTCAACAAGAAATCTGAGAGGTTATGCTAACTAACCTTACAACAAAAGAGACTTTTCCATGTCCATTTTTTACTGACAAATCCCACATTAAATATATTAGTACATAGCTTTGGAACCATCCAATCATTTTATAATAGACAATTAATAGGGAAAATACGGCATCAAAACTGTCCAACCCTTACACTTTAACTATAAAATATACATGCCCGACGTTAGGAACCGTTAAAAAAGTGCATTTTACACTTATTTTATGTTTTTAGCCAAAAATAGGTCCAAAAAAATGTTCGCCTCGCTCCGCTCGACGAACTTTACATACTCCGCCCCCCTTTCCAAAATCATGGATCCGCCCCTGTTTTACATCTTATACATGGGTATATGGCTAATGATTAGTTTTTTTAACAGTTTTGTAGTAACTGACAAACAAGATAGCATGTCACAAACACAGTTCTTAACTTTTCAAAATAAGTAAAATTCCTCAAGTAATTCAATATTGGTTACCGATCAAACATTGCTCTGTAGTTTGAAATCCAAGATGAAGATGTTATTCGAATTATAATGAAGCTAAAAGCTTGTATACATTGGCTTAAGGGTATACGTTATTGAAATACAAACCTTATGAAAAGTGGTATGTCATGACATTTGTGGAGACCTCATGCTTGGATCAAAGAGACCGGGGTCTACTCAATCAGATTATGTGTCGGTGATAACACCAGAGACAGTAAAACAGCTAGGAGCGTTGTCTTCCCAAATTACTGAACAGGTGTTGTTCCAGGATTGACACTCAAATTCAGTTTTTTTGTTATAATCATCGAAATTTATTAGGTTTTATTCCAAGAATGCCACTAGGACTAACCTGCTGCAGATTGATAAAGGCCTATTAAGTGATTTAAAGACATTTCAGAGAAACATGGGCACAAAGCTACATGCATGTAGAAATAAGGAAATTGCAATACACCTAAAATACCAGGACGTGATAAAAGGTGCTTTAGTAATCAAAGCATAGAACAATAAAGTCATTGTCAAGACCATCTTCTCCGAGACTTTATGTTTAATCGCTTTCACCAACAAACTGGCCAATAACTTTTCCAATCCTTAAAAAAACAAAACAATATTTGAAAATCTTGCCCCTCACAAATATTACAAGCGTGTGTATGGAAAACTTTTGTGAAAGAGTCTTTAGGAACACTAAAAGAGACCTTAAAGAACTTAAAGATATTTGTAAAATGTTCTTGCTAGAAATGAATGTAAAATGTTACACATTCATTCAATATTAATTATATTGTCGGCAACAAATATAAAAAGACAGGATGAGAATTGAGACCTTTTTGTACATTGTATTTGCTTGCCGCATTAAAACGTTGTTTTATAAAAAGGATACCTCATTACATCCTGCAAACAAATCGCATGCCATGATCTTCGCAGAAAGATAAAAAAAAATCATTATCCCCTCTTATAATTATGTAAAAATGAAAATTGAGTAATATTATATACCATTTTTTGTTGGGTGTGTAAAAATATTATTTATACTTTTTGATTCTTTTTGATTCTTTTTAATTAACAGATTTCGTTCTCTCGTACCTTATTTTTTCCAGGGCATACATAAAAATAAAAGAACAAAGGTGGGGATATTCAAAGGATATATTATGGCTTGATTCAATCGACAGAAACTGGGAAGGAATCATCATCATCGATGGATATCAGAGTATTTTTACTTTTGGTAACTTTGTTTAAAATTAAATTATACATTTAAAAATGAAGTTAGATCTTCCGCACCCTAGGGGAGTTCTAGTTCTTACTTGAACAAACAATGTATGTCAAGCCAAAGAAAATATTCATACATTATGTGGGAAATGTAATGAAATTACATGGTTTATCAGTCGAACTTAAGGTCCATGGTTATATAATATATAAATCAGTGTTTTGATATATAATTTTAAATCTATGATAGATAATTCCCATGCTAGTCAAATTATACTATAATATTGACAAAGGTTGTTTTTAATGAATGAAATCGTATGACTATTGAATGGAGATTAAAAGTGTTGTGGAAGGATAAGCCACTTAAATGTTTAATGAAATGTGCAGCATTTACTTATTCAGAATTTGAATGAGTTTAAATTTGAGCTTTCATTATTCAATATTGATTTCCACATTAATGAATAGAATGGAAAGACTGTTTTAAACAATACACAGATCACATCAGTTTCTAATCACTATGATCAACCCGGTACAAGAGGGTGTCTAAATCTTTAGGTGCTCTTTTATCTCAGATTCCTGTTACCCCTTTTTAAGTTACAATTGCCTCATTCATATTTTTTAAGATGGTATATTTTTTTCGTCGACATATGAAGCAAGAGAAAAATTGAAATGCCTTCCGTTAAAAGAACGAAGGTTAAGCTACATGCTTTATGGATTTAGGTCAATCTTTTTTCTTTTGTAAGAGGTTTTAAGACGCATTGATATAAACTGTCCATCCTAATTCGTGAAACAATATGACAGTCAAACAGGACCCATCCATCAAAAGCCACCAAACAACATTTGATGTGTCCAACACGACAGTGAAGGTCTCGTTGATGCCATAATCCTCCTTATTTATTGCAATATTAGATAACACACAGACATGCATACATGTACATGTAGTAGCATTGTCGGGACATGATATTTCAATTCAATTAAAATAAATAATGTGCGTTGGAATGGTCTTGGAAGTTTTAGTGTTTGCTGTCACGAAACTGGCAATATTCATTGTCCTCGTACAGTTAGAATAGTGACCTAATATAAAAAATTGGAGAAAAAAATCAAAATAATTATTTTCATATTCATTTGAATCGTCAACTTCTTTAACGAACCTCGACTTTTTTCTATTTAAGAAAAAGATACACACAAAAGTTGAAATATTGTGAACTTTTTGGGGTTTTTAAATTAGAAGAGAAAAAAAAAAATAATATTCATTTAGGAACGACAGTTATAGAGCGCGGCGCTTACGAAAAAGACTTATCTGTATTTATATTGGAAATTCTAAACATTATCGGTAATTTTTTATGTATAGTAACGGAAAATTGAGATTATTTTGCAGACTTGTCCATCAGGTGTAAAGTATTTATCTGAGCATTGCAAAATCTATGTATTTTTTCTGTTTAAAAGCTACCATACATAGTCTTCTGTGTATATTCAGATTATAAACAATTTTGTTTTCAAACTGGAGTGTTTCGACGGGTTTTCATTAGTATCTGTTAGCATCCCGTGAAACAATTGTTAATTGTAATTACTGATTAATATTTCTTACCTCTCCTCCTTTTCCACAATATAAAGAAAATAATTCCAAATATAAGTAAAACAACAGCTAATGTACTAAAAACACTAGCAACAACTATAACAGCAACATCAGGTTGTCCACCACACTCATCACACTGCACTATTCCAAATGAAAGAATTATAACTAAAACGTATAAAATAATAAATTTCCACATTTTAAAAAATAAAATCCAACGAAATGAGCAATTCAAAATAAAAGATGAATTTCAACAGATAAATCTACATCGTATTTCCATGAACAAAAACACCTATATATATCTCTTTACTCCTTAGCGAGATATGATCATATGTCATTCAAAGTTGTACGGTGAAACGAGTTCTTCACGGTCCCGTGAACTGTCTTGTTTACAATCCTCGTAAGTTCATATCAACCCCTTTCTACGTAACAATTATAAGAATTTGACCCGTGGTCATAGTCCGCTGAACAAACTAATTAACAACTAATTACCAAGTACTTTGTAGTATATAAGGTAAAAGTTTTTGGCGCTCCCGTTTTGGTTTTGGTTTCATGTTTTTATCACAAAATTTGTTCTTCTATTTGTTGATATATTATTTAAATAACTGGAATTCCTCCGGTCTCTTCACATGTAAATATTGATCTATATGCTAAGGTAGATAAACCGCATTCCTTTGAATTTACCTGTCTACAGGTGTAAAATAAACATAAGACTGCGTTTGATAGTAGACAAACGGCTTTTTATCGGCACTTTTCATATGCAATTATTGGACAAAAAGGTGATTTTATCAAGAACATATATTTTCACAATTCAATAAAAACTGTGACATGTTCTAATACCTACTGCAAATAAAACGGTTATTTCTTATGTCACTGAAATAATTTGATAGAATAAGTAGAATGCCATAAAATGAAGGATAGATACTAAATTGTACATTAACGAAGTGGATATTTACTTATTACTGTGTTAATTTAGAAGGTTAATTGCAAACAGAGAACTAACAAGAAACAGACAAAACGATGTGGCATGTATATTTATAAGTTGTAATATTGAATCGTCAGATGAAAGGGACATCTCGTGTACATTTGCAATTTACTATTTAACGGTACCAATTTTACTGCATCAGATTCGCATTTCTACAATCAATGTCACTTCAGAAATGCCGGAGTCCAAAATATTTGAAAATCATACACCTAGTACAAACGTGGATCAGAATAGTAACAAAAATATAGCCAAACCCGGACAATGAATCAGAACTATTCACGAGGGAGGTGCGTTACTAATTTCCAATGATTTCCAAAGTGTTTTTTTCTCATTCATCACTGCAAATACGTAAATGGTCATTCCAGTACAGAAGTATTGATCTATTATGCAAATTGTACCCTCGGGGACTGTCATTTTTCCAGAAGAGGTATAAGTGGTTAGTTTAGCATTATTCGAATCGGTACCAAAGCTACTACATCAAATGCGCAAGATGCAACAACATTGGTTATATTGTTTATAAAGATGATCGGTCGCCTTGGTTTTATAGATTTGTAATATCGGTTATAAAAATACTACTAATAATAATAAACAAAAATAATATTGATAATAACAACACATTCTTTATATTTAGAGAGCAGCTCAATTAGAACTTGCCCAATTTTCATTGAGGCTCTAAAAAATGACATGCACCAACATGTTCTTCCACTGAGTAATCTAAAAGAATGAACATTGTCAATACGAGTTTCTTTACGGTAATAAACATTTCTGATTCTTGGCAATCTAATTACAATACAAATCTCTGATTCCGTTATCCTCATATAAGCACACAAGTTCCGATAGATCTGAATTTTAATCAGATTGGATTCTTAATTTTTGGTTTCATACATTTTGATTTTTTGTGTCCATTCATTTTCTTGTTATTATTCTTACACCAGGATTCTACGGCATTAACATCGTTTAGCTTTTTCTTTGTTGGTAATATGTTCAAGGTTCTTTTCGTGACTATATATATATGAGCATGTAAATCAATGTTGAATTGTTTAACATGAAGCGGTAATACATTATAATAAAACTTTATCTCGTTTGAATTGTTTTACATTTGCCATTTCGGTGCCTATTATAGCTGACTATGCGGTATGGGTTTTACTTATTGTTGAAGGCCGTACGGTGACCTATAGTTGTTAATTTCTGTGTCATTTGGTCTCTTATGGAGAGTTGTCTCATTGGAAATCATACCACATCTTCTTATTTTTATATTAAACAATTTATTCATCCGAAGCGCTTTTCCGGATTCACCTACATCAAATTGAAAGCCAACTATTTTAAGGCTTATGATGTATAATGTATATATTTTGTTTATTCCAAAAAGCAATACAGCTTATAGGTATCAAATACAATAACATTACATTGAATATAATAAGCATCTCATAGTACAATATAGTAATTCATACAATTTAAAACAAATCTAGGAGCATCATATTTATTGATATAATTTAACAATCTTGAAGTATGGTTTACACATTCAACAATTACGAATTCTTTCGGCAATACATAAATACTTCCCAAAATCATTCTAGTAAAATTATAGCCGTCAACTTTTAATCATTTCAAACTTTATATACGAAAAATTCAAGAAAGGTATGTTATAAATCATGACAAAACTGTCGCAGTTACCACTGAGATGATGATAGCCTCAGGGATTAAAAGTCCACCAGCAGCGGTAAATCATTGATAGAAATTGAAAATAATAACGAACCTACAATGGAACCTTGATGCACACCGTATTTAACAAAATTTCTATCAGATTTGATACTAATTGCTGTCTATAAGAAAAAACAATTTTATCCACTTTATCACGTGTTCGCCGATATGATGAAATCTGAGCTTTTCTAAGAGAATGTTATGGTTAATAAGGTAAACAATACAATACATTACTTATAAAAATAAGAAGATCTGGTATACTAGTAATTACCTACGAGACAACTCTCCACAAGAGACCAAATCTCTCAGAAACTAACAACTATAGGTCACCGTACGGCCTTCAGCTATGAGTAAAACCCATACCGCATAGTCAGCTATAAAAGGCTCCGAAATGAAAAATGTAAAGCAATTCAAATGAGAAAACTAACGGCCTAATTTATGTACAAAATAATGAACGAAAAAACAAATATGGTACACAGAAACAAACGACAACCACTGAATTACAGGCTCCTGACTTGGGACAAGCACATACAGAATGTGGCGGGGTTAAACATGTTAGCGGGAGCCAACCCTCCCCCAACCTGGGACAGTGGTGTAACAGTACAACATATGAACAAACTAAAAAAATCAGTTGAAAAAGGCTTAACTCATCAGATGGATACAAACCTAAATACATATAACAAAAACACAGTGGACGTGGCAGGGTACTAATACATCCCCCACAACAAAAAGACACTAAGTACAGATCTGAGAGTACTCATAGGCGGATTTAAGTTTAAAGGGGGGGGGGGGGGGGCAGGGTGCCCGGTCCCCCGCTTTTGTGGGAAAAATTTGGTTGATTATTTAGGGAATCATTGAAGCATGACTGGAGCGGGCTCCCTCTATGGCAGTCAGTTGGCCCCCTTAAGAAAATTTCTGGATCCGCCACTGGTATTCGCAGTTACTGGCAGCTAGTTCAACGCCAATAACAACCAATAAAAAAAGTCATGCATCTAAGACTAAAATATCAATAAGTACACATCCAAAATCCAAAGGATTTAGTGGAAAGACGTCACTAACAGTCAGAGAAAAACATGACCTTGTGCAATGCCAATATACAGGTATAGAAAGATTGTAGACCCATGAATGTGCATATGTATATAAAAATAATATAAAGTTTGATTTTGATCTATACTGATAACAAAATCAATATTAATACTGATAACAAAATCAATATTAATACTGATAACAAAATCAATATTAATACCAATAAAAACAATATTCAAAGATCTAATTACAGTATTGAATTGGTAACCTTTTAGAATTAGTTTATTTAAAGGATCGATAAGTTTACCCGGATCGTATCTAAATTTCCGGGCTCGGTACACAACATCTCCGTACAAATTAGGATGTACTATCCCGTTTGAAATAAGTTTTCTACAGGTACAACTAAACTTCAAAACCAAATCTTTATATCTATGGAAGAATTTAGTAAAGGTTTTAAGTAATTCGTGGTAACGAAATCCATGACTTTTAAATAATTTACCAGTAATACATAGATTACATTCATTGAAATCCCCGTTTATACCTAAATGTTTCAACGTCAGCTAGTTTTAAGTCACAGCGGTTTGACATGAATGACCTCGTCTGAAACTTGGCCTGATTGGACTATATGAAATACTTTTTTTTGTTATTACATGCATGTCTTTTAAAAATCGCAGATATGGAATAAAAACCCGAAATTGGACGGTAATCAGAGGGAATTTCTTTTTGGTTCTCTTTTGTGTAAATTGGTTACCCTAGCTGGAATAAATTAACTAGTAAACGATCAGATGTATGTATTTTTTAATTTTTTTTTTTCGAAAAGTCAGTGAAGGAGATATTGTCTCTGCACAGAGCTTGAATACTAACATAATCAACTAAAACACCTAAATAATAAGTCAGCACGACAGAGAGCAGTACTCGGAGCTTGCTTTAGTAACAGTGAGCAGTATCGGAGCTTGCTTTAGAAACAGAGAGCAGTACTCGAAGCTTACTTTGTTAACAGCGAGCAGTACTCGGAGCTTACTTTAGTAACAGCGAGCAGCATTCGGAGCTTGCTTTAGTAACAGAGATCAGTACTCGGAGCTTGTTTAGAAACACAAAGAGCAGTACTCGGAGCTTGCTTTAGTAACAGAGAGCAGTACTCGGAGCTTGCACTAGTAACAACGAGCAGTGCTCGGAGCTTGCTTTAGTAACAGAGAATAGTACTCGGAGCTTGTTTTAGTAATAGAGAGCAGTACTCGGGGCTTGCTTTAGAAACATAGAGTAGTACTCGGAGCTTGCTTTGGTAACAGAGAGCAGTTCTCGGAGCTTGCTTTGATAACAGCGAGCAGTACTTGGAGATTGCTTTAGTATAACAACGAGCATTCTTTAATACGGCATATTTTGTTATTGTTTTGTTTTTTTATTATCTATTATAACGGTACAGTTTTAAAAGAGCTTTCTATTGGTTTTTATGATATGTTTTTTAATCTATTGATCGAGATTTGAAAGAGGTAAAGTTGAGATCTAAAAAAAACTATTTAAATCCCGCTGCATTTTCATGTGCCTGTCCCAAGCCAGAAACCTCTTTGGTCATTGTTCTATGACACATTCGTGTGTTTTTGTTAAATTAATTCACTAATTTTAGTAAGGAATACTTAGAGCTAGACAGTTTGTATGGACATCGGTCTGTTGTTGAAAGGTGCCCTCGTTACTTTATTTTTGTGGTTGGGTTGCTATTACAATGATGTTATCCGACATCTTCTTTTAATCATAACAAACAAACTGTAGTTCAGTGGTTGTCGTTGGTTCATTTCTGTCATATTTATTTTTCGTAAATTGTTTTGTTACAAATTAGGCCGTTAGTTTTCTTAATATTGCATTTTTCATATTTTTGTATGGGGTTTTCTCAACGTTGAAAGTCGAACGGTTGCCTATAATTGCTTACATCCA